ACAACTGGACTGCTGCCCATCTCTGAATCGAGTGTCCATTTTAAAATGTTGGGTAAGGAACTCAGTTGTGATCAGTTGCATAAATTTCTATTCGAAGGAGTTTTCTGATCGCGTGCAGTTCATCAAATCCCAATTTATGTCGGGACAGTTGAAGTTACCAAGTAGCATTATGTGTTTGCTTCGACAAATTACTTTCATCGCCGGGATAAGTGCATCGTCGGCATCCGTCCGCTAGCTTGGCGGTCTGTAAACCAGGACCATATGGAGGCTTGGATGGTTTGGCACCTTCAAGTAACAAATGAGTATTTCACAATCAATGTGTCGAAATGGGGAAGACTCAACCCTGACGTAGTCGATGCATCTCGTATAACTATCGCAATCCCCCCACCCCTTCGTTCGTTGCGGTCCGCCCTTGTTCGTGCGGATTCTGCTTTATCGCTGATCCCACGAATGTAAGGGTGCAGACAATGTAATAGCTTGCTGCATAAGTTAGCTATCATCACTAGCTCACCCATCGATGTTAGCGATGGTCAGAATGACACCTGAAGAGGGGAACAAATTGTCTCGGTCTTCAGACTTCTGTTTATTAGTACGTAGGAATTTTATCACTTGAGTCGCGCGTATAAGCCAAAACAGATGGAAATAGGCCTCCCCTTTTCGGTTTTCTTAAATCCTATCTTCAAAACCAATATCAAGTGGAGCTAACTCGAAACGTATTCTCAGAACCTTCCCCTACTGCCAATGGAATACTTTAAGGAACTATCATAGGTCCTCTTCTATTCTTCATATACATTAACGACTTATCGTCCATATCAATACCAGCTAAGAAGTTATTATATACGAACGACCTATGTCAATCGACCCCTAAAAATATACATTTGAAATCATGTCCACCTGAATGTCAAGATTTCGATGGAGGAATCTAAGCATCCGACCGCAAGCCAGGCAAAAGGTCCGTTATGCAAGAGACAGATAACTCAATTTGACCGACGGGCATATCGGTTGTCGTGTCAGTGTCCATGGATGTCAATATCTCTGAGTACGGCTTTGGCTATTTCCTTCCCAATGACAATGTTTCCAAGTTGCCCTAAGCATCACAGTAACTAAAGGAAAGACCGAAGGACAACCATCCTACCCGTGAAATGGTTGATAATTTATTCATAGGATAGGGTTCGACGTATGCTCATCACCCACGAAATAGATACAGCTGACAGTATGTCCACCACATTGATCCCTATAGACCGTAACGGTTCTCCACATTTTTGACTATACAAGATCGCCTAAAGTTTTCGCTTGGTAGCTGCGTTAAATTTTAAAGTCGGAGCTAAGAGACGGGTTTTGTCTTATTTATGTGTGCAACAGAGAACTCCGCAAGTAAAGAGAATAAGAATAAATTCGTCGTTAGTCATAGGCAGGCGAAGATGCGATATTTCGCAACGTTGAGGTCATGTAAGCACTCCGATGACGCAACTTGGTAAATTACCTTTGTCCCCGTTTAAATACCCGGAATATTTGGCGCTCCCTCGGTACAAAATGCTTCACTACCTGTGGTGTCAGAGTTTGTTGTCGGATGCCTTGCTCATTTTAAATCTGTTATGACCCGCCTGGTACGTGAAATCCTGTGGAGCGTATGCGCACTCGACCCTTGTCCCCAATACCAATGCGGCAGAGAAGGAGAACGCGACCGGCTACGAAACTGTGTATTAGGAAATTGCAAGTCAAAATTAACTGGAATTAACGCGTATTTATAACGCCCTACGGTGCTTCGCCGGCGTTCGGTCCAATGCCCTTCGGGAAGAACATTCGAGGCGAGCCGGTCGATAATTCGAATATGCCGATCGATGAGGCCCGAGAGAAAAAGCCAATGGAGAGGCGCCACGAGTAAGATGACAGCGCAGTAGAGAAAATGCACGTGGCCTCCCGTGATTGGCTGGCTCTTGTTTTTGGGAGTGTAGGCGCTCCCAACACCTCCCCTCCAAGTAGGTCAGTACCGCTTCTGGCGTGGGTTGACCTGCATCAGACGTGTTGATCGGCGCACGCGGTCGGTCCGGCGTCTTAGTCGTGGTTTAATGCCTGGAGATACGGGAGCGGTAACTGATACCGAAGATGGTATATCCGAAGGCGGCGCAGAAGTGGGTTCCGGAACCGACTGATCTGCCGGAATGGCGAAGGTATCCAGTAGGATGTCAAGGGAGAGTGACGGTGCCGACTCGAGCCCAGTTGTGTTACTGCAGTGTCGCTGTCGGATCTGGTTGTGGTGACGAACCCAGATGTCATCACCAACGTCGACGTCAAACAACATACTGCCTCTGTGCGCTACTACGGTTGCTTCAATCCAGTCTGGGAACCCCGCTCGATAATCACGGACGAAGACAGGTGTTCCGATGGAGAGCATGCTGCGAGAGACTGAAGAAGTCTGCGCGGGCTGCGCACCCGTAGGGACGAGTGCATGAAATTTTGTCCGCAGTTTTCGGCCCATCAACGCTTCGGCAGGAGAAACGCCACCAGGGGACGCCGGGTTCGGTGTTGTCCTGTAGGAAAACAGGAACGCCTGGACTATCTCGTCCGTGATCCCCTCCCCACGAGCTTTCAAAAGGGCTCTCTTAAAAGTGTCGACAAAACGCTCCGCCTGACCGTTAGACTGAGGATGGTAGGGCAGGGAGCGAAGATGCTGGATGTTGTGCTGGCGGCAGAAATCTTCAAACGTCGACGAGATAAACTGAGAGCCATTATCTGAAACCAGGACTTCTGGTAAGCCATGCTGGCTAAAGATGCGTCGTAGGAAGGCGAAAATGGCAGACGCGGTTGCTGGATTCAGCGGAGCAATCTCGGGCCACTTCGAGTAGGCGTCAACCAAGATTAGTTAGGAGACTCCGTTAAGTGGGCCAGCGAAGTCGATGTGCACGCGTGACCAAGGCCTCTCTGATGGTTCCCAGGGTACTGGCGGTTGACGAGGCGGCATCTTGGCAGCTTGCTGAGATCGAGAACAGCGTCGAACCAGGTCGTCGATTTCACCGTCGATACCCGGCCAGTAAACAAAACTGCGATCAATTGACTTCATTCGGCTGGTACCAGGATGAGCGGCATGAAACTGGCGTAGTACAGAGGGTCGGAGGGAAGATGGGATCACCACACGGTCCGCAAACATGAGGCAGGAGTCAACCACAGATAACGATGCTCGTTGGAGGAAGAGCTGACGAAGACCACCAGCGAGAGCAGTGGTTGGCCAGCAGGTCTGCACGTAGGTGATGGCCTGACGGAGGACAGGATCCTGTTCAGTAGCATGCCGGATGTCCGCGGCAGTGACAGGGATACCTCGTATGGTGTCTGATAACTGACGGCGCACATCGTCCTCAATCGAATAGCGGCAATCACGGTATCTTCCTCCGGTTCCTGCTGATTGCTGATGAGGCGAGAAAGGGCGTCAGCCTGACCAAAGTCTGTAGTACGACAGTAGCGAATGTCGAAATCGTAGCCAAGAAGGATGGTTGCCCATCGCTGAAGTCGGCTGGCTGAGTAGACTGGAATGCTTTTCTTCGAACCGAAGATTGACAGCAATGGTTTGTGATCCGTCAACAACGTGAAGTGGCGACCGTACAACAGTTTGTGAAATTTTTTGACGGCAAACACGAGGGCTAGAGCTACTTTCTCTATTTGCCCATAGTTCTTCTCCGCAGGGATTAGCGTGCGAGATGCATGCATGATCGCCTTTTCAGACCCATCAGGAAAAGTATGTGAGATGACGGCACAAACTCCGTGGTTGGAAGCATCTGCAGCAACAACGATCGTCAGCGTCGGGTCGTAGTGCGTGAGCAGCAGATCTGAACTCAGCATCGACTTTAGCTGGGCGAAGTCCTTTTCACAGTCAGGGGACCAGCACCAAGGAGCATCCTTCTGCAACAGACGGTTGAGCGGGGCCCGTACGTCATGCAGCGATGGTAGGAAGGCGCTATAGTAACTGATCAGGCCAAGGAACGAACGAAGTTGCGATGCATTCTTGGGTGCAGGCATCCGTTGGATGGCCCGAATGTTTTCAGGATCTGGATGGCGACCAGTGACGTCAAAAACGAATCCAAGGTACTTGATGGAGTCGAGGAAGAATTGGCACTTGTCGACTCGTAGGCGAAAGCCATATTCATGCACGCGTTCGAGTACTGCGCACACTCGGTCTTGCAGCTCGGCAGGGGAGCGACCCACGATGATGATGTCGTCCAGGTACCCATCTGTGCCAGGGATGCCGGAGAGCATTGCGTTCATCGTTTGTTGGAATAGGGCCGGGACGGTCTTGAAACCAAAGGTCAGCCTGGTGTATTGGAACAGAACGCGATGGGTATTGATGGTCAACAATTCGCGCGACTCTGGGCGACCTCGATCTGCAGATACGCGTCAGCGAGATCCAACTTGGCAAAGCAAGTGCCACCATTCAGCAGGGTGAAAAGATCAGTCGGAACCGGTAGTGGATAGCAGTTCGGCGTCAGTGCGGCATTGAGACCGGTGGAGAAGTCAGCACAAATGCGAATCGAGCCATTGGGCTTCTTAACCACAACGATTGGAGCGGCCCAGGCGGAGTAGGATACAGGAACCAGAACTCCCAATTCCTCTAGACGCTTCAGTTCAGCCTCGACAAGTGGTAGAGCTGCATATGGGACTGGTCGATTTGGACGGAAGACTGGTTGACTTCCAGGAGACAGATGTAGCACGGCTTGAGTGTATGTGCAACGACCCAGACCGTCTTGGAACACTGGAGCAAACCGTTGGAGAATGTCCTTGGCTTGGTCTGCAAGCACAGCGGGAATCTGCACCTGACTGCAAACAACGCGGAGCGGCATATCGGCCAACCTACGTTGTTCAATCCAGTCGAGACCAAGTAGGTTAAGGTCAGACTTTGTGATGTAGCAGATCGCGGTGATGCTGGTACCGCGGAACGACACACAGCATTGCAGTTGCCCAATTAGCTGTACGAGACCACCGCACGCGCTTGTGGCGGACTGGGAAGTCTGCTAGATCGTGGGGCTGCCAAGGGACTGCCAGAGTCTCTCAGAGATGATGGTGATATCTGAGGCAGTGTCCAACTGTAGGCGAACTGTATGGCCATTGAGCAGAACGTCAACAAATTTTATACGACCAGACACATTGAGCTGGAAAGCGGCCAAGAGACTCTGAGAATTACTAACGGACTGGAGTTTGGACTTGCGTTTTGGCCGGAAACGATGCCTGGAATTAGGAATGGCGGGGGTCGGCTTGCCTCCAGAAGTTGGTACTGATTTGCAAAACCCATCACGGTGTCCCACCTGATTACAGCTTTGGCAGCGATGCTGGCGGAAAGTGCAATCCCGGTGGAAATGCCACGCGCCACAGTGCCGACAAGGGGATGGCGGAGATCTCGCCTTGGACACTTGCTTGGGCCGCGATTTGGTCGATGTGACCGAATGGACTGAGAAAGATGAGGCAGGGTTCTGAATCATTGCAGAGTTGTGCCTGAGATTGATCAGCGTTTGGCACTCTGCTGCCAGCTCTTGGAGTGTGATAGAGTTGCTCTGCTGCACTTTGGACAGGAGACGTGTCCGGATATCAGCATCCTTGGGGGACTGGAGGCCGCAGATAAATATAAGGCATTTAAACTGGTCTTCAGTAAGAGAACCGAGTTGAAAACGCCCACACTTACGATTGACAATGCCCGCATACGTGATAAAATCATCGTAATCGCGTTTGCACAGCTGCAGGCACTGAAATCGAGTGTTGAAAAGGGATGATTGATCACCAAAAATCTGCGACAATGTCTCAACCGTGTCCTTGAAAGCGACCTCTCGGGGATTCTTGGGGAGGATGAAGTTTGCATAACGCTCGTGTTCAGCCGGACCCAGTTTGCGAAGTAGGAGTCGAAACTTCCATGCATAGTCCTGGGCAGCCAGATCGACAGAGAACAAGTCCTCGTATCGTTTGTACCAGGAATCAAAGGTGATATGGGCCTGCGGGCCATACAAGAATTCCGTGATGCTGCCGGCAATGTGATCAACAGATTGCGAACCACCAGTCGCACTTGAATGACCCATGGACGAGTTGGACAGCTTAACGGTAAGTGCTTCCATTAGCTTCAGCTGCTGCTGCAACATCAGCTTCAAGTCTGCGTACTCGTCAGCCATTGTAGTTGAAAAACTGCGTCGCCAGTTTGTTATGACCCGCCTGGTACGTGAAATCCTGTGGAGCGTATGCGCACTCGACCCTTGTCCCCAATACCAATGCGGCAGAGAAGGAGAACGCGACCGGCCACGAAACTGTGTATTAGGAAATTGCAAGTCAAAATTAACTGGAATTAACGCGTATTTATAACGCCCTACGGTGCGTCGCCGGCGTTCGGTCCAATGCCCTTCGGGAAGAACATTCGAGGCGAGCCGGTCGATAATTTGAATATGCCGATCGATGAGGCCCGAGAGGAAAAGCCAATGGAGAGGCGCCACGAGTAAGATGACAGCGCAGTAGAGAAAATGCACGTGGCCTCCCGTGATTGGCTGGCTCTTGTTTTTAGGAGTGTAGGCGCTCTCCGTTAACATACCCGGAGTATTTGGCGTTCCCTCGGCATAAAATGCTTCACTACCTGTGGTGTCAGAGTTTTTTGTCGGATGCTTTGCTCATTTTAAATCACTGCCTAATTCTTCGACGTCATATTTTGCGTTCACCTACGGCTTTGACTCATCGGTGCTACAGGGCTCTTGAGAAGCCTGTGAAGGAGACAAAGTCCCCAGTAGTAAGGAAACAAGTGAAGAGAGGATGATTCACAACCGCATCCTGATCCAAGAGACCGGCGAAGATTTTTGGCTCTAAAGAACAGAATGCGCAAACTTAAGGAAAAGAGATTTCGCACGTCATATTGAAACCGGACATCACGCTCCATCGCATGTAGTAGTACTACTTGGAACATCAAGTGCTCACTAACTAAGTGTCGCCCGTTCGTTGATCATTAAGACAGGTTTCAACCGTGGCCAAAGATACTGTAATTCGTTCTTTTAGACTGCACCCCACTTACTTAAATTTCTTGTGATTCTGGCGACAAAAAGCACACTTTTCTGTGTTTTATTGAAAACTGCTCATGCATGCCTCTGGTTTGCAACCTCATGACTGGCATTGACAATGAAAATAGAATAAAGCAGAATCTCCAGATAACTAACGACCAGAGTACATAAGTTTATCAATATTGGCTCAATGCACTTTATTGATGGTCAAAATATTCCAACGGGGAATTTGAGTCAGAAATCTACCGATATCGCAGAATAAGTGATGTGCATCAAATAACCAACTTACGGAGAACTTCTGCTTAGATTAAAAAGCATATTCCCCAGTTGGTCGGTGGCTCAGTTGACCTAACAAGCAAGAAATTACTGAAAGTAAATTTTGATGTTTTCCCGTCAATTAAAATGCCAACTTACCCCTTTAAAACCTAGGACAACTGCTAATCCGATTATGTGACAGGTCACGTCTGCCAGTCAGGCAGGCTACTCGACCACCCACCCACTGTTGTGTCCTATGGAGTCGGGTAGCTTTGTCGGTCAGACAGTTGATATACAAAGAATGACCCATGGGATCCAAATGTTTTCTTCATGACTGATACCTGCCAATGTATTTTAGATGATTTGAAAGTGCTCTAAGGAGTACATAAAAAACGATTTATTATTATTTATCTCTTTAAATTGCCCGTCACGTATATTGGACGGCATTTATTGCTACTAGGGAAGAACGCCGACTTTTAAGAATATCTTTATCACGATCCTGTCTTTGTTCTTGACAGCAAGTTGTGTAACGAAGTGTCAGAGGTGAAAATAATTGAGGTTTCCTGTTCAGCTAATTTTTGAACTATCATGATTTAACCCAACTCAGAAGCGCAGTCAGTGGAACACACTTGCACGTTTCGAAGACTTTGCCGAAGATTATGATACTGCGGTTATTACCAACGACAAAGCTGACTTTGTAGACCCTATGTCAAGCTTAGTGCTTCTTGAAATTCGTCTGCACAGGAAAGCCAACGTGACCACGAATGCGTACTTTTCGTGACGGTCGTCAATCCGAAGTTTGGGCTAGCGGGAGTAAGAAAAACATGGCGACTATTGCTTCCTTCATGACCAATGCCTAGGCGGACAGTAAATCAGTCGAGGGCTGCAAATTTTTCCACCATCGAGACGGTCTCAAGGGTCCCGAAGGCCCATGTACAGATTTTTTCAAGCGACACAGTTCGCTGTTGAGGAGTGGGTGGATAAAGGCATTGCCGGCAGTAAAAATGCGTTCTTTTGAAGAGGCAGGTGCAGGGTTGTCAAACGGTGTTTATGCCTAATAGAATTCCGGAAAGCCTTTCAACGATGCTGTTCCTAATAGTTACGCTGCCTATTACTTTGTTCTTTAATGTTCGCCCCAGAACCTGTAGTGAGCGCCCGTGTCCTTCAAATGAACTTGTTCGTGGAATCGCGTTCCGCCGAGAGTATTACAGATCCTTGAAAAAGAGGTAGGGTCCTTTGATGTAGATTGAAACCAGGGGTAGGAATGATAGATCAGTAAAACAACCTATTGACTATAGACGGTTGATAGTCGGGTATACGAGGACCGCTGACTAGTGAAGGACTTCAATGCGACCCGCTGCCAATTCATCACATGCATTTAGTGATGCTTGGTTAACGAAAGACAGAGATCACAGTCCGGATGATCATGAATTTTAAAGATCTAGACCAAACAATGCACAGGCACCTCCCTATTGTTGTGTCCTATGGAGTCGGATAGCTTTTTTGATCAGACCATCGATATAGAGCAACTGACCCGCGGGATAAAAATGTCATCCTCGCAACTGATCTCCGTATGCTAGCCCGTGTACGCACTATTATTGCACGTTACTGATTTTGAAATCAACAAGTTTCAATCATCTGACTGCACACAGCTTGATGCAACTAAATCTATTCGATGTTCATATAGCAGGAGAGTGCGAGCCTTCTAGTGCGACCCGCGGACATGTCCGATCACACTTACTTAACTATTTTATAGGATGAAGTCAGTCAGCCAGTGTATGTGAGGGCAATAGGCTTACGCCTTTGAATTCCCTATTTTTACATAGAAAATCCATAAACACGCAAAAATGTTAAGAAATTACAGCTTTAAGTGGATGAAAACATTGGTTCATATATGTTACTGGTCTCATGGCTAAAAAGTCATATCGTGCTCTCGTTGGTGCAGCATATATCCGTCAAGCCGACATTTAAATATCTCCACAGATTGAGACATGACAATCGTCTCGGAAGGTTATTCCACGGTTCCACGACACGGTTGAAGAAGAAATATTTTCTCACATTCAATCTACCCTGCGGCACATGTAGATTGAAGAGATATTCCCGGAAGTTAGTTATGGTGGAAAGTTGGAATAAGTCATCGCACCGAAGGGCGCAGTCCAAACCACGCACGATACGGAAAGTTTATGCTAAATCTCCGCGCAACTGCATATAACTCAGAGGATAGAGAATAAGTTTGATTAAGCGGATTTCCTATGGAAATGCTCTTTGACCTCTCATTAATTTTGTTGCTAGCCTTTGTACCCTTTCTATCAGATTGTAATCCTGATGCGTCCATGGTCTCCATACCTAAATTGCATATTCGAGATGTGGCCTTGCAAACGTGCCGAAGACTTTGGAAAAGAAGTCTTCATCGAAAACTGCGAATGCCCGCTTGATGGCATATAGCATTGAAGTTGCGGCCTTGACCGCCTTACAACATTTTGTAGAAGGCTTTAGGCTGCCTAAAACTCAAACTCCGAGATCTTTCTACATTTCTGCTTCTCGGAGTGGCATTCTGTTCAGATGGTATTGCCACGTGCTAAGGGACTGATTTCTAAGGCGCAGTATGATACATTTGTTCAAATTGAAGGACAAGAATGTTTGCCTTGATTGCTGTTGGTCTACGCGGACAATTTGAGAGCGACGAGGACATTCTCGATCCATTTGAAAAGTTTGTCGCCCATGTCCATTATTTTTAACAAGTGCAGAAGACGATGGTGCGAAACACTGTCGAACGCCTTCCGGAAATCAATATAGGCCACATGCACAGTGTGTTTTGCGTCCAGTGCTCTTGTCCAACCTTGCATTATATATAGCCAGTTAGTTAAACATTATCTTCCCCTACGGAAACGATATTGTGCATTGGACAAGAGGTTGTGGGCTTTCAAATAAGCCATTAACTCCTTTTTATGGTTTTCTCTATCACTTTGCAGCGGATTGATGTTAGAATGACGGGTCTGTATGTCGTTGCAAGAGCACGACTACCACTTGTGTAATGGGGTGTAATATGGTCCGTCTTTCAGTCTGCGCGAAGGATTCCAGCATTAAACTGTTTTCGGCAGAGAAAGGATAATGGCATGGCCAGCTGTTGGGCAAGCTCGAAGAGCAGCTTTGCTGGGATTTCGTCCGGACCGGGAGATTAACATTCCTTCAAGCTTTCAGTTCTTCCAAATCGTTTCTTCTCGAAACACAACAGTTTCGATAATGGAGTCTCCTATGTTCTCAGCAATAGATGGAATAAAGTCTGCTTCTCTTCTGAAAACAGATTGGAAAAACTAAGAAAAATGTGCAGCCTTATTTGTACTGTTTGATATCTACAAACCGTCATCATTCCTCATGACAGGAATGGGATTCCTGTTAAGTGTACTCTTCCTCAAATAGCTGTAGAGCAATTTCGGATTTTTAACTGCACAGTGGAGCAAATTACTCTCGAAATCCCATCGTCTCCTAAGAATCAGGCTTTTCAACTTATTTCTTTGAAATTTATATTCTGTAAACACTGCATTGATGTTGTTTCCGCGAAACGTCTTCCACAACCTTCCTTTCTTGTTGATCTCCCTTTTGAGTTCTCGTATTAGCCACTGAGGGCGGTTGAATGTCCTTCGCTTTGATAAGGAACAGTGGCTCTTCATTAGATGCAGCAACCGATCCTTAAATAAATTCCATTCCTCTTTGACGTTTCCGCAGAAGATAACATCCCAGTCTATTTGTGATGCCTCAGCACTCATTTGGCAAAAGTTCCCTTTTCCCTATATTTGGCCTCCTATCGTCCTTTGTACACGGTTCAGAGTGCAGTTAGTACTCCCATAAAAGCATTGCGTAATCACTTCAACCGAGCG